AAAGTTGAACGGGTGTTGCTTGAGAATTCGTGATCCTAGTGCTTTAGTAAATTCATTAATTCCATAAATTCTCGTAAACTGCGTCCAGATCATTTTGCATTTAATAAAAGTTTCTCATTCATAATTGCATTATAGTTCACATCTTCCTTAGTTAAATCACAATACATAGATCTTACTTTCGTGTTTCGGTTAAGGTCATAATATGTTGATTTGAACTAATTCAATCCTTGTGGGATCGATACTTGGACTCCTAGTCCATTTTACTACTTGTTAACGAACCGTACACTTGCGGTGAGTTTTAAATTGAAAGAAACAATTTCGTGAACTATGCTTCTTATTTGCCAAACTTTTAAAAATCCAGATAGAAATACAAACTATAAAAATGAAACTGGTTTCGAAACAGAGATCAGAATTTGAGAGTCGAGGATGCTAATTAGCTAGAGAACTTGTTCTTCTCCATTAGATCATTACCGTGCTTTAAGTATATTTTTCATGCTTCCTGGGATTACTTACAGCCTCACAATTCTTAAATGTAAAACTATTCATGTTCGAAAACTAGATTTAATTACTTCGTGTATTAACAAGAAAATAATAATTTACTGAAATAATAAACACATAAGTGTTTTAGAAATTACTCATGTAACGTGCTATACGAAAAAAATCATTTGCATTCTTCTTCTTGATTCCACCTTCAAAACTTTAGACTTTTCCGGTGTCCTTCAAGACGTAAAAACTGCAGAGATTTTGTGTGGATATAACAATAAAAAAAAAATTATAAAGAAAATAGTTATACCTCGTGTCCATTTGAATTTAAAAGTTTTTTTTCAATCTATTATGATTCGATATCCATTAAGGAGGTGTATTCAATTGAAACTTTTTAGGATTATTCAATGTAAACTTTTTAAAACTCTCTAAAAGTCTTGATGTACTCTTATTGGTTATAGAAATCATTAAAAGTTTAGATGTGTTCAATTAAAAAAAAAAAATCACGTGGTTTTTAAAATGTCAACAACTTTTAAAAACTTTTATATAAATATTTAAGGTATAAACTTTCAAGTAGAAAGCATGAAAATAAAATTTCAAAAAATGACTCTCATTTATCCCAAGATTTTGAGAGACTTTGATAAAAGATTTTTTTTTTTTAACATATATTTTCTATCCTTCAAATATTCTATTTCTTCTTTCCTTTTACATACCCCATAGCCATGTTTAAAAGTTTATTCATTTTTCTTCTACCTATTATATTTGTTTTCTTTTCTTTTTTCTTTTTTTTTCCTCTCCATTTTTATTGTTTCTCTTCATTCTCTACAAAGAAAAGATTTTGTAATTAAAAATTCTATAAGTTTTTTTCTTTTTCTTTTCTTCATCCAATTTTTTATGGTAAAGATAACTTTTTAATACAATTTTATATTAAAAAAAAGACTAATTTGTAATTAAATTTTAAATATATTGACTAGTTAGTTATTTTTAAATCTGACATATTGATAATACTGAATATTAGATATTTCTTTATTTCTTTTATCAAAAAAATACTTGAAATATTAGATAAATAAAAATATTTTTTATATTTTAATTATTTATTTAACTAATTTAGGTGACTTAATTTTTATCTTTTAAAAAATTTATTACATGGTGGAAGGGAATGGGATTGATCCTCCACCTCTCGTGTGAGAATTTAAGTAAAATCTATTTTAAATGAAAGTCTTCAAAAGTCATGAATTTTACAAAAGTTTATAAAAGTTTTAAAATGAAGGACTATAGAAATCTACGAATGACTTTCATTAATTTCATACATATCTATAGTCATCACTTAAAATTTTTTATAAAAGTAATTAAAAGTCTCAATTGAATACACTTTTTAAATTTATCTCAGCCATAAGTTTAAGCTATTAAAGATGATCTAAATGTATTCATTTTAACATCATTTTCAATATGTTTCTTCTTACACATTTTTTGATCAAGAATCTCACACATTGCACAATTTTCATTAATAGATGGAGGAGAACTTTAAACTATATTTTGCCTAACCCTAGTAAAAGCCCAAGAATGACTAACCAAGAAAGGGGTGAATTGGTTATTTAAATATTTTTCGAAAATAAATGCTAATATAATCATTTTGCAAATAAGATAATGAGCAAGCAAGATAGCTTTAAAAAATAACAAGAGAAAGGAAAAGAATATGGAAACAATATGTTATGGAGGTTTGATCCAATCATGATCTACGTCTCTCGTTACCAAACTCTCCGTCACGAGCAAGGCATTTTCCACTAAATGTGATTGAGTTACTGTGCAATCCGACCTTCTACAAAACTTTTGGTGACTTACAATCAAGGAGCATCGATCATCTTACAAGGTTAAGCTTTTCAGAACCTCAACACGACCCACAATTAGGGGTGGGCGCGGGTCGGTTCGGTTCGGTTCTCTTTAGAACCGAACCGAACCAAACTTTTCGGGTATCTAGTAAATGGAACCGTCGGGTCCAAATATAATTATAGAACCGTTCGGGTTCGGTTCCATTCGGTTCGGTTCGGATCGGTTCGGTTCTGTACTATAATTAAATTTTTTAACATTTATAACAACGTTATATAAATACGACTAATGATACATTCAATAGTTTTGGAATGTCAGAGATTAGTAAACTACCTTGTTCAAATGATCGCTACGATCAAAGCTTCAGTCGGGGAAAGTCACGGCTTCGATCGGAGGTCAGAGTGTCGGCCGACGATTGTATATGTTTTGGAATATTAGATAGGCTGCGAGAGTGAGTGCGAGAGTCGAGACAACGTTATGCACTTTATTGTAGGTGTTTAGGGTTATTTAGTGGATTTGATCTTGTTTGGCTAAGAAATAAAACAATAAAATGGGTAATTGGGCCAAAAATTAAAAAATTAGAAATGAAACAAATTATTGGGCCAAAAATTTGGATTTAGAAATCATTAATTTGTTAATTTGTTTAGAAAAAGTTAAAATTAAAATAATTTGATTTACTCAATATAAAAAAAATTTAGAAAGATTCGGTTCTTCGGTTCTTGGTCTAGAACCGAGAACCGAACCATACCCGTCGGTTCTCAATTCAGATACCCGTTCGGGTATTTAATTTGACAAGAACCGTCGGGTTCGGATCGGATCGGTTCGGGTTCGGTTCGGTCGGTTCGATTCGGGAGATTTGCCCAGCCCTACCCACAATTAATCATAAGAGAAGGAGATATTACAAGTGAGAACTTCTCTCTTAATAAATGGAATAATCACAATTGAGTATTGAGAGAGAGGTAGGCTCAACACTTCAATAGATTGCAATGAGTATAGCTCAAGTGTTACTTTGAAAAATTTGAGATGAAAGATTTATGATAGTTTTGGTCACTCAAGAGTTTTTCAATATGTAAATAATTTGATCTTCTAAAGATTTAAAAGAGTAGTTGAAATCAATAAAAGCCTCACTTAATGCTCAAAGAAGGTTGTTTCAATTAAGAAAGTGAAGAGGTATTTATAGTAGTGAATCCGTCAAAAAAACTATCCTTCCGGACGTCTGCTATCGTACTGGAATGTTCACTAACCGTTGTTATTTCAAAAGTCAGAACGGTTAAAAAATTTTACCATTTTTCTACCAGACGTCCGCCAGACCTACTGGACGTCCGCTACGGCAAAAAATAAATTTTCTTCGATTTTTTGATAAAGGTAATACTTTGAGAGAAATTTATATATGATTTTTCAAGATAATTGTCATTTCATTGTATAAGATCGAATCCGCTATCTTGAAAAATATTTTGCAAGTATTTTGGTGAAATAATATTTTTTTGCGTATAAAGTCGACACTTGAGCCTTTTTACGATATATTGCCAAATTATTAAAGCATATTACCTTTACATATGAAATTAAAAAGTTTTAAGTCTATTATCTTCAATATGGCTCTTTGTCTTGACGTGTATACCATGCTTTTACATACTTCTTCACCACGTTGATTTTTCTTTTATTTGATCGTCGCCTTTGCCTCTTCAATGTTTGGTTAGCATATTTTCTATCAACACTTAAATAAACTTGTTAGAAATAAATGTGATTTATTTGTAATAATCAAAACGAGAAGTCAACCATAGGTCAACATCTAGTACCATATTTACTATCTCATTTAAAAGTTTAAATTTTTAAATTGTGAAAGAATATATTCATATAAATATTGTCTTCTACCATTCTCTATCTTAAATGCCTAAAATTCCACTCAATTCCAACTCCTCTAGTTCTGTAATAATCATCACAAGCTCCAACTCTACTCGTGGCCTATCAACCAATCTTATTTCGCATCAAGAGTCCCTGCGCTAAAGCTTTCTTGTCTATTGATCTTCGCAAAAACTTTATGTTTGAGCATTGGCAATCCTCTCATTGTAAACTACACGTTCGACCGCTTTCAAAAAAGGAGCATTGTCAAAGAATCCCAATTATGTAATGTATCAATATTGTGATAAGAGTGGAGGTAGCGTCTCATCGTTTAAATTTTTTACATTATCTTTTCGTTTTATTGCGACTATCATTCACATTACCGACATGACTACAATATTTTTCGTTTTGTTGATTTCAGCACCTCTCACCATATTACCTCTTATTTGAATAATTTGACCTTGCATTTTCGTGTTTTTTCATACTCAAGGTAACAATCTCTTAATTACATAAACTAGTTTTCACCACTCCTCTCATTCCTTCCTTCAAATAAAATGTTCTCTTGTAAAACAAGATGTATATTTATCTATTATGTAATGCTTCCCTTGAAATTTTTAAAATTGAGGCTAAATAGCAAGCAATCTATTATGTAACTGCTTGTAGTTAGAGCTCGACTGAGAGAGATTTTCCAAGTGAAAAATATATTTTCAAAAACGTTTGGTCAAAAAGTTTTTTTTTTAAAAAAAGGATACAAATAAAACGTTTTGTGGAATATAATTTTGGAAAAATAATATTCAAAAAAAATTCTAGACGAGGTTTAGCTATCTTAGCCAGGCTGAGAGAGAGAGAGAGAGAGAGACGTATAAATATTAAATACGCACTTTTTCCAGTCTTCTAGAGAGAGACGTATAAATACGTTCCTTGATCAAATTCCCTTGGTTTCACATATATATACACACAAGAATATGAACAGGCTGGCGCCTATAACTCGCTCTTGTTGATTTTATTGTGATAATTTACAGCGCATTCAATGAATTTCAATTCCCATTTCATCACCTCACTAGGGTTCCTCTAATTTTCGCTCTTCATTCTAGTTGCCCGCATTGAAATATATGCTCAATTTTCATCACTCTGTTTTCCTGCTGGTACAGAAACAGGAAAAGAAAAGGTTCGAATTTTTTTACATTTTATGTTATTATAAAAATTTGTTAATATTTCTTTTTGTTCGATTGATTTATCATAGAACTAGTATCAGTATATGTATTTACTCTTGAGGTGTTTGAGTTTTTGAAGATTATGGACGGTTTCAATGATCTGTGTAGTCTCTAATAACTTCAATCAATTTTAAGAATAATTATGGGTTTGGATAAAATATGCTGTTTGTTGAATTGCAGAATTGTTTATGTAATTTCAAATGGGATTCAAGGAAGTATATAAGGCGTTGCTGGAAATTTTCCCACAGGTAATTTGGGTTTCTAGGTTCCAGATTTTACTGGTAATCACCTGTATATGTTTTACTTTTTGATTATCTTTTCTTGCTTATGAAGGGCTTCGAATTAATAGGTATGATTTTGGAGTTGTAGTGAACACCTAACATTATGTTTGTAAATATTTTGCTTGTTCTTTTGTAACTGGAATGTAACATATATATTTTACATTTTTGGATTGTGAAAATTTGCATTATTATGTATGAGTGTCATTCTCTATTCTCTTATAGTTTTTCATTTAAATAAATAAATATGAAAAGTTATTTCATAAAAGAAAAGGGACCCCCACAGAAACCACATTTTGATGTCTTTTTTCTTCCTTTGTGGGGGCAGGTTGACTCTCGAGTTCTTAGAGCTGTTGCCATTGAGCATAGCAATGATGCTGATACTGCTATTGATGCAGTCCTTGTGGAGATTATCCCATTTTTCACCGAAAAATCAAGACAAAAATGTCAATCCGGGGGGTGCATGAATGTGGGTGAATCATCTAAAGGTAATGGTTTTCTTGAACAAATGCTTACTTTTTTATGTTGGTTTGATTTAATGATTGCATGCAGAAGGTTTACTATGCTGTGACTTATAATTTTTATGTGGATTCATTGTCTTAATATTTTGATTTCAACAGCTCTTATAGATGACATTCCAACTTCTGGGATTGGAGGACTTCAGCAATCATTTCATGGTGCAAATGATGGACGTAATGAACCCTTCTATGATATGCATACTGGTAATCAAGCAAGAAATGATTGGATACCTGGCTTGAAACTATCAGAGAAATGTCAGAGAAGTGGCGCTAAAATCAGTACTGATATGTTTCGTCACATTGAACCTGTTACTGTGATTGATAGAAGTGGGGTAAATAGCAATCATTTGGGTACATCTGCAGACCTCGAAAGAGAGGGAATGATTTCTGCTGGAAATCGTTCAGAAAGCCAGATCAAACCTGTATCTAATCAGAGTCCTTGTCATACGCCGAGAACTTTGGAACATATGAATGTAGGTGTCAATCCAACCATGAATCTTCTGCCTGGCCTCAAAGAATTTGATGGGCTCTTAGGTATTGATTATAATGTGCCAATCCATAAGGAAAATCTTCAGCAAAAATATTGTGCAGATGGGAAATCATTCGAGGTGGATAGTCATGTGGAACATCCTTTTTTTCAAGATCCAACTCTGAGTCCATCAGGAAGCAGTGTACAATTGGTAGAGGTACCTGATGTTCAAGAGGGTAATCTAGAGAAACTAGACGAATGTTTGTCAGCTGATGCTACTTCTAAGATAGAAGCTCACGATGAAATGGTTGGTATTGAAGATAAGTGTACCTTGAATGATAGTTTATACGGATCTGGACAAATTTGTGTCATTGATCTTATTGAGGATATCATTGCAGATTCAAGAAATAACAAGGTATCAGCAATGTCAATTTTTTAGTATTTATTGATGAGTAATTTAGCTAAAAGCATTTGGGAAAGCTGGGGAGTATTGCATGAAATGATACTTTTTTATTCCTTCATAGTAATTTGATGGTTTGGGCTGTCACTGTCTAAATTCAACACTTTGTACAATTAGGATGATTCATTCTTGATGACTTAGTCATTTCAGTCAAGAAAGTTCTCCTAGAAGTGGAGTTCAATAATTTTTTATTTTATTTTATTATTATTTTTTTTTTTGGGTCAAAAATGAAAATTAAATTTGTATCGAGATCCAGATGGAAATTGAAATTTTTAATATAATGGATGTGTTTCCTTAAAGCACCTCAGATAGTGCATATCAGTAGTTTCGTTTATCAAAGTACATATGAGGACTGGATTTTTTAGAAGAAGGTTAAAAAATTCAATATACTTAATCTACCATCAAATTGTTTGCTCCATGAGATGTGTTTTGAAATTAATTCTTTAAAACTTTTGTGTGAATCTCCCCAACAGAGGATAAAGAAGAAGAGTGAGGTTACATTTTGTATTATTTGACTTTTACTATATTTTAGCCCTTATAATATACTATGGTGCAGAAAACCTTGTTTTCTGCAATGGAATCTGTTATCATCATGATGAAGGAAGTGGAACTTAAAGAAAGAACCGCAGCACTAGCCAAAATGGGAGCTGCTGAGGGCGGAGCTGATATATTGGATAGGGTTGAAGAGCTTGGACAAATGGTGAAACGTGCAAAGGAGGCAAATGAAATGGTTCTACTCCTATTGCTGCTAGTATTATTTCTTGCTTATATTGATCTAAAGACTTGCATGTTCTTTGACAAAAAATATGGTGTTCTTGTCTTCTGTTTGCAGCAAGCTGGAGAAATATATGGTGAAAAAGCCGTCCTATGTACTGAGTTGAAAGAGCTTCAATCTCGTGTTCTCTCTTTGTCAGATGAAAGAAATGAATCTGTTGCAAGTCTTCATGAGGTGATTCCAGTTGTTGTCCTTGCATCTTCAATATACCATTTTTGTTTTGTTTTGATTTTTTTTTTTTTTTTTTTTTTTTTTTTTTTTTTATTGTTGTAATTGAATTTCAATGGGGCACGGCACATCTGATGTACATTTTTAACTATTTTAAAAGTTTGCTTTCCATGATTCTCTACTTTCTTCTTCCAATCGATCTTTCCAATATCCTCCCTCAAAGGAGGAAATAGAGGGAGAAACAGAAGGAATCTAAACAAAATAATAAGAGTAGCTGTTTGTGATACCATTGTTTTGATTATACATACATAAAAATAATATTACTTTGTCGTTGATCATGTGTTGTGATGTATAAAGGTAAGAAGTAAGAGAAAGAAAGAGAGAAGAAGAATTATGTGTGTGTGGGTGGGTGGGTGTGTGTGTGTGTGTGTGTGTATATATATATAGAGAGAGAGAGAGAGAGATTTTAACAACACTAAATAAATCTTTTTCTGAAATATTGGACAATAGTAGTTCTATTTAGTTGTGAAAATTCTTAAGAACTGAAACTTGTTAAAATAACCAATGGGAAACTGTCGTAACATAAAGACTAGTAATTATTTGCGAGGAAAAAAAAATTAATACCAACTTTTTATTCTTGCCTATTATGAGTGCATATTTTTAAGGCAATCTCAGTCATTCAGAATGCAATCTCCATTGCATTATATATTAGCTACTCTTGAGTCTCAATAGTTGACGTGTCCACCTAGAATGTTCTCTTAACCATAAAAGTTATTTTCTGGACCTGACGCCACTTAAGCCTACCAATTCATAATATAGCATGTAAATATTGATCCTTCCATCATATGAAACAGCATACAGATAGGTGCATGGAGGCTTATAATCGTAGCACTTTCTGATTCTCAAGCATTTACCTGCAGATGAATCAAACTTTGAAGATGCAATTAGCTGCAGCTGAGAATATGATAAAATTTGCGGAGCAGGAAAAGGTAGAAAAGGAAAATTCTGCCCATAAAGCACTTGCTAATCAGGAATTGGTAATGGAGAAAGTCATGCAGGAATCAAAAAAATTGAAGCAACGGGCAGAAGAAAATGCCAAGGTAGTGGCTCCTGTTTCATATGCAGACTTGAACAGTCCTTTTTTCTTTTTTTCTTTTTTTTTTTTTTTTTGATGTTATATATTTGATTGTTGTGCTCATGTTGTATTGCAGTTGAGGGAATTTCTTGTGGATCATGGTCGTGTTGTAGATATATTGCAGTAAGTCATATGAGTTTATGTTACTATTTCTCTTCTACTTGAGAGTTTAATTTGGGTGGACCTCTGACTGGGACATGAGTTAAAGGTTCCATTTGCAAAACCATATCAATTTAAATTGATGCACGGAATTCAATATGTAGTTCTTCTGAATTTATATTTCATTTTTTATTATGCTTGTTTGTGAACATTTTTAGGGGGGAGGTATGTTTTTAGAAATGCTTTTAAATAACACTACAGAGGTATATAATCCATTAATTCCTTCAGCACTTGCAAAGTGCAGGTTGAGTACTATCATGATTTCCAGTATTTTATGAAAGTGGAGTCTCAATTCATATCTATGATCTTAATGTGAAACTCGAGCATTTTAGTGGTGCACTACAGTCGTAACATATTTTTTAATAAACAGATGAAAATTTTCTGATGTTGATGTTGAAGCAATGTGGAATTGTGTTCTTTAGATTTTATTTAGCTTTCTATTCCTGGCCTTTTTGTTGTCTATAATATTATAATTGGAGCAGACGTACGATGCTTATGGGTGATTGGTGTTTCTTTTATAGTAGATACATTTTATAATATGTAGCCTGTATCCTAAAGTTTCCAACTTCTCATCATCTCTTCTTCTTTTGTTAGTAATGTAATTTCTGCAGCTTGTATGTTTTACCTTTAAGTACGAGGAATTTTAAGTCGTTTAATTAACTTTTCATATACATTCAACCTGCTTAAGTGCTTTCATCATAGTTTGAGATGAAGGGTTTGTGTATGCGCCTGGCATAGTGGCATTATCATATGGAGATTTTGCATTGAATGCTCATATTTACTCGATATTTATGTATATCTTAAATTTATTTATTAGATATATTTAAACTGATAAAGCGTCTATCTGATTTTTTCCTATTTTTCCTTTTCCCCTCTCTCAGAGGAGAAATAGCTGTTATACATCAAGATGTGAGTTTACTAAAAGAGAAGTTTGATGAGCATGTTCCGTTTAGCAAATCTCTTTCTTCCAGTCAGACCAGCTTTATTTTAGCTTCGTCTAGCTCATCATCGAAAACCTTGTTTCCTGATCAAGTTGAACCAGTACCTGACCAGATTGATTCATTGGAGAACCCAAAGAAAAGAGATCCAGAGCAAATCTCTTTCTTCCAGTCAGACCAGCTTTATTTTAGCTTCGTCTAGCTCATCATCGAAAACCTTGTTTCCTGATCAAGTTGAACCAGTACCTGACCAGATTGATTCATTGGAGAACCCAAAGAAAAGAGATCCAGAGCAAATCTCTTTCTTCCAGTCAGACCAGCTTTATTTTAGCTTCGTCTAGCTCATCATCGAAAACCTTGTTTCCTGATCAAGTTGAACCAGTACCTGACCAGATTGATTCATTGGAGAACCCAAAGAAAAGAGATCCAGAGCCTTGTTTGGACGAACAGATGTCTGGAAAAGAATCAGTTATCGATGATACTGAGGAATGTGTAGATGAGGAATGGGAAATTTTTTGATCATCGTGACATTTACATGTTAGTATATATACTTGTTAATGACAGACTTGATGTCCATGCCACCTTTGCCTCGGGATTGGTTCTTGCTTCCAGAGTTTTGTTTCTCTCCTGCTATATCAGATCGTGGAAGTTCTTCTATGTCATTGCAGGGATGCAAAGTCTTGTGGAACTTCTATGGATTCCATATTAAATTGTGAGATACTCGGGATTGGTTCTTGCTTCCTGAGTTTTGTTTCTTTCCTGCTACATCAGATCGTGGAAGTTCTTCTATGTCATCGCAGGGATGCAAAGTCTTGTGGAACTTCAATGGATTCCATATTAAATTGTGAGATGTAGCATGTTTTGTAGGTGGGACGGACAGCACTAGCCGGTTAAGAAAGAAGTTCAAACTTTGTCTCTTTTGTGTCAATACAGTGTTATTTTTTGCTCCAATTATGCCCTTGCAGAATCATATGGACATCCGGGAATATATATAGAAGTTTTTTTGTGATATGATCTGAGTTCAGTTTTTCATTTGTCATTTCATGGAGAAAAGAGGTCTAATTTCTCGAACTCTGTTGTACATAGGATCTTGTGTCCTCGACAACAGCCATTTAATAGTCTTCTTGCTCTGAAGTTAGTTTTCCCATGGTGCTTTCAAATTTTTCTGTTCTATATTAGCAGCAGTGTCCAAAAGAATAATAATAATAATAATAAAAAACTTGAAAGCACAACCAGGGAGAACGAACTTATAGATTATGGGATGAGCGAGTGGAATATTCATTACTGTGTTGTCTAATATCGTGCACGATATAGGCCCGAAGTGTACTTGGTAGCATAAAACTCGAGCCAAAAGTTACAAAATGAGCTTTCTTTCTATTATACGTTTCAGTATACAAGCTATGAACATTCGGCATCATTTACCTAAACAGTGTAACACTCTGAACTAGAACAAGATCAGTCCTTTTGAGTATCAAAACTTCCAAATAGTTCAATATACAAAAGTTTAACTTCTTTTTAATGTAATATTGTTCAATACTGTCTAATCTACCTAATGCAAATTACCTTGCACTTGTGGTGGACTACTCAAATGTCAACTCTTTATTCTTGATAGTCATGCCAGCAGATCAGCAAAACTGTACATCTCCATATGATATAAAGGCGAGCCTTCTGCTTTCGAATATGCTTTGAACACCAGAGTTTCGTGCTCCTCAATGAAAACAAACTTGCAGCCATGTCTATTTAAGCAAAATGTGTTTATTGTGTTCTTTCAAAAGTTGGGTCTTGGTTTTAAGTTGTTAAGTATCTGCAGAGAGGGTTTTCGCCTTATATAAGAGAAGGAACTCGAGATTTGGAAATTGAATTATGTGGTGAATTCAAATCCATGGCCCTTGGGTAGGGCCAAAACTTGGAGTTCATTCACTTCGCTGAAATAACAAGACTAAGATGACAAAATAGAACTAGGAGATTGTCTCCTACACAACCCTACTTGAAAATGGACTCGACATCAACTTTCCACTTACAGACTTTGGAGTTGGCAGCCTTGATATTTGATCAATTTGAGATGAGGTTTGGCTAAGAAATCGCCCATTATTTAAAAAATAAAAAAATAATAATAAAAGAGGAGACTGTCTTTAAATATAATTCAATTTCTATTGGTTGATTTCATCGAGTGCAGAAAAATAGACAATGAGGTTACCAACTTAAATTACTTACACACTTCAATCTCCGACCATTTATTTTAGTGGCACTTTAGATCTTAGATCGATAATCTCAATCTTATATTCGACTCAGGGGGAGAACGAGAATGTGTGGGTGCAGTGTAACAGAAAGATATCTCTATTCAGTTAGACTCGATCAACCCTCCGACCGTGAAAATGCAGTTCCAAGTCTTTACAGCAACTTTGATTCCATCGATGGCAACTTCACATGGATCCAGCCTAAAAATGCCCCTGAAGAAGACATAAATGGGCAGCATCCCAATAATGAAATAATTCAAAAGACGACGTGTATAGAGAGGCCCATTTTTTACTTGATGATCTATGTCCCAATGTTGCATTAAAGTGCAGCACAAATGAAGGTTCTTGACCTTATCTAGATAGGAGTAGAAAGTGATATGATTAGACACTAGTTTGTAGTAACATAGTCTTGATAGAAAGTACACATGGAGGTAAGTAAAACAAGACAATCTAGTGTATGCTCCTCAAATTTATTTTTAAGTTCATGTTACTTACAATTTGATCACTTCGTTTATTCTCACTTATGATTTTGTAGAGCATCAGATAAGATTGCAACAAGTCAGCTCTATATCTCTACCCTCCCATTATAGTATATTTATCTTTTTAGGAGTCTTGTTGGGAAAAAAAATGAAAATTACACCTACTCCTAGTTTTTAAATTATCATTTCAAATATCAAGATTTTAACTTTATTCTTTCAAAAATTAGATATACTTTATCCACCCCTCTTTAACCCTAATTCATTTCTTATCCAAACAAAAATTCAATGAACTTCTTGAGCTTATTATCTTCTCCGACGTTGGTCAGTATCTTCTCATACTCACAATTTGGGTCTTTATAACTATGACCTTATGGGATTTATGTGTGATCATAATTGTGTCATTGTACGACTTTCACCTATTATTGTGACCACTTAATTTTTAAAACTTTTTCACAAGTTTCTTATTTTCGAAAGTATATCTTGAAACCTTTCTAATTATATATATTTTTCCCTCCCCCCACAATATGAAAAAATATTAATAATAAAGAGGTCCAGCCCTAGGGGCGATAGGGCTGGTGAGCCTTGGACTCCCAGGGCTTCATGGACCAACTACGATTTTAAAATAATAATAATAATAATAATTTACCAATAGAAATAAAGATAAAACCACCCAAAACTATAAAATCGATCATTCAATGGCACATATACTGCATATCAATGATAATTTATGTACTTTCAAATAAATCATTCCCAAGTAAAGAAGTTAAACCTCTCCAAAATGTACAGGCAAAAAAGCACTAACCATCGCCTAGAATGTTGGCAAACCAAGACTACAAGGAAAAAAGTAAATATTGTTACACTAAACAAAATTTTAAATTTAAAAAAAAAAATTAATTTAACTAAAATACATAAAAGTCAACAGCCTAGGGGTCCATCACATCTCCCACCAAACTGAATCTATCTTCTCATTTGGTAACTGCAGAAGCAATGGTAATATATATACAGTTGCACGACGAGCTTGCATAATTTTCCTTTCGGGCCATAGCAGCATCATATTTTTCACAAATGGCGAGTTTTCAATCACGATATGACCTTTTTAAACAAGCCATGATACCCAGACGGAAAAAACGTTTATCCCTATAAAACATATTCTGAAATTTAAATAAATATGATATGCAAAGGGATACTCAAAGCCACAATGTAGGAGGATGCAGCAACATACCACTTCAGGATACAATTCTGTCAGATGGCTCGTCTTGGTCTCCAAAAGTTAGGACCTGAAACACCAAAAAAAATTAAAACAATTCCCCTGTAGTTTAACTAACTTCATGCATGTAAAGGCGGCTTATTGCCGGTAGTAGCATTGGTGGAACAAGTAGACAATTACCATATTAAGTTTAAGTAGGTAGGAGCATCTCCAAGAAATTATATATGAAGAATATCTTATGCATAACAGAGAGTTTCTTTAAACTTACAGAGAATTTTTAAACATTCCAACAATGTTTTCTATTTTGACTCTTCATTTTATTTTTTAAAGAAACCTTTGTTGATTTCTCTTCATTTTTTATTTAAATTATATTTTATATCTCAATGGCCAATCAATTTATATGATTTGAATAATTTAAGAAATAAAGTATTCAAATCAGTAGTTTATTAAATGCAATCATTCTAAAGTATCATTTTTGAAAAGTTGGAATAGAGCCTCTTGGAGCTTATTTTGAATCACTCTCACTAAAATAGAGAACGTATAGTGTTTAGAGAGTCTCTCAAAGATGTTCTAAGAGTAATGTCTACATGTTCGTCATTTCAGACACAGCACCCACTCCATCTGATTTGTTCTCCTTTTTGCAAATAACATGATCATAAACTTTCAGGTTGACTTTAAATCACATGGCTTAAAATAACAGAGACATACCGATACAAATTTAATACCTACCCCTAACCCCACACCAACTAAAAAGAGCTCCAACAAACAACAATCTTAATGCTACCCAGCATCTCCTAGTCACCTTACATTAAAAGTTACCATTTGTCCCAGTAAAGCATTAATTCCGAATCATCTCGCGTCCACTATTTCAGGTAAATTAGCCCTTAGAATTACTGAAAAATGTCATCCTAAGACCTTCGTTTAACCTAAAACCACCCAAATGTCACCTATAATCAATAGTCAAGAGTATATCCGAGTTTTGCCTATGGGAGGCGAGGTGCAACTGTGCAAGATTCAATATAAACCAATAAATAATCTAAAAATTATAATAATGCAAAGGCATGCGAATATTAAACCATAAAATCAAAAGTCTAATTTGCAGCTAGATATATAAATGGATAAACAGGGTATCAATAATAAATTAATAATTAACAAAGTATGATCACAAGACTAATATTAATCCACAAGTATAACTAAAAGAGTCTAATACAAATGTAAGACTGAGCGGCTATTTAAGTATTTTGCTTGCTTTGACTTTAGAAGTTAAGTCAAAAGAAAAATCACATAAAAGAAACAAAAAAGAAAAACAGCAGCATGAAATATACAAAAGAAAGATAACCTCTCACTAATTTACCCCCTGAAAACTTGCATCTTCACCAATGTTTCGGAAACAGAAACAGGCATCGACCCGTAAAAGGTAAAGTGTCAATGGTCAAAAAGTTCAATGGGGGACAAAACTAGATGCAATAAATAATACACACAGAGAACATAAAATACTATAGCAACAATAGATTTTTTATTTTTCATAGTATTAATTCAAAGTAAGTTCATATGTTTGTTGATTAGACTTATCATTCTGCAACTAGCTTCTACGCTTCAAAAACTAACAATCAATGTCCAAATAATTTGCTTTGTTAAAATTGAATTGTTTGAAGCTATTAAAAAGGGTGTCTAGCATTATTATGCTAATAATGAAGTGCAATTTAAGTTGAATTTAAAAACCAAATGAATGAAAAGATTGTGGTGAACATTACAATTTTTTCTGTTAAGAGCCCACAATCATATAAATTGAAAGAATGAGGTTAACATTTAAAAAATGGCTTTTAAGCGAATGAATACTTCTCTATAATTCATATCGGAAGATTAATGCTGCCACTGGAGGAAGTGCATCTATTAAAAGGAGCAGGCTTACCAAGATACCTATATGGGCATTTAATTTCAGTGCATGAGTCATTAATGTAGTTGAAAAATTATAAATTAAACCTCAAAAATCCAGTAGAACTGCAACCGGTTCAGCAATTAGCAGTTAAATTGGCCGGTTTAGTGATTCTTTGACCTGTTTTCCTATAGATGGTAATAACAAATGAAGTGCCACATTATGGGCCAGCTCCTGGGTTTTCCAGTTGGACCAGCAGGCCGGTCCAGTTTAATTTGATAGTCACTTGGGAAGGGGGATCACACATCAGCTGTAAGATGATAGGCCACCAATTAAAGTGACATATGCAAGACACAACAAGGCAGGTCAGGGCAGGGGCAGCAAGGATAGCAAATCAGGGCAGCAATAAGAAATCACGTGAGCCTGATATGATTACAACCAACAGCATGTGCAAACTGTTAAGAGGGAGATTCTAGAAGATCAATAAAAGGCAGGAAACATTTAGCAAACAGTGAGGAGAGAATGAGCCTCTCGAATAGCTCATATATCTTGTAATTTTCTTCTTTTATTTACAGTTCTGTTTCCGTTGTAATCAAGCGATAGAATTAAATCAAATTGCCCAATATTTTCCATAGCTTAATCCTTGGTAATTTTTTACCTCAGATCTAATTCCATCATAAGACTAGAGGGCTATAGCACGAACCAGATCTTCAATAGTTCTCTTCACTACATCCAATATTCATTGCACAAAGGGTGCCCACAGAAGACCCCATGCAATATTGCTAGCCTATGCACAGCGAACATCAACAATATTTACATTTCACTTAATTAGATAGAGATTCAGAAAGTGAACTTTCTGAGAGACCAAAGACAAACACATTGCACACTATCTTCAATCTCATTAACATTCAATGAGGAAAAACGAACCTGCAGAACATTTGACAACATCAAATCTATTTCCTTCCAACAGAGAAAAGAAACAAGGACAAACCTCTATTTGCCACAGGAATTGGACCTTCGGAAGGTTGTCCGTATGGAATAAATTGCCTATGATTCATAGGCTGGGGAGGGTGGGCCCACCTATTATTAGGTAATGGTGGCTCACAAGGAGGACCATTGTAAGACACAGGAGCACGAGGCATCCTGCCACTTTCAGGATGACATGGACCTAGAATATATTAGAAGATTCTGTTAAACAAAATCCAAGCGTATAATAATGCGAAGCTAATGCTGATCTAAGAAAAGGGGGAAAAACTTTATTTACCAGAGACAGAAGAGAATGGAGGCCTCCAGTATTCTCCAATATTATCACGTGGAGCAAACTTCATTCTGTCATGATCTCTGTAAACATTACCATTTCCAGCACTCTGTGCAGGAAATCTGTTATTATAGGAATGGATTGGGGCATCCCTCCGGGACTGCATTTGCTGATCTTGGACATACGAGAACTGATTTGTTGGAGAAGGGTGGGGTGGACGCAGATGAAAACCCTTGTTGAAAGCACCATCAGCTGGCAATACGGTATTAGAGGCTCGTGCAGATGGATGGGAGCCAGGTTGACCGCTGAAAGAACGCGAGTTAGTGAAGTCAGACATCCTTGGCATCTGAGTTTCAAAATTTCTATTGTCATGAGAATGATGATGCACGGCATCTGAAGTTGTCCGACTAATATTATGCATTATAGACTGCTTTACAAGAGGGTCCTGGATATTTCTTTTGGTCTTCTGCATAAATCACAGATCAAATTGAGAATTAGAATCATTAATATTATCTCGTAAAGGAATATAATCAAATCCAGGACCAGAACAGACCTGAAAATTAGAATAAAGCTTCCAATCAGAACCATGCGAAACAGACTCCGGCATTGCAGGCGGTAAAGCTGGAGGACAGGGAGACCTGGGCAAAGGAGGAGATGGTGATATGTCCTTGGGGGGTGGAAGAGCAAATGAAGCCCCAAAACGACTGTCAGATTGATGATTTGACATCAGTTCACTACCCGCTACAGTTATATTGCTACTGGCGTTAATTTCCATTTCGCAAGTGGGAGCCACATCCTCCATTTCAAGCTCCCCGTCGACATCTTCCAAGATATGTCTACGCTTCTCAACTGCAGAAACCAGATTCCTTTCTCCCTCAACATTTTCAGCATCATGCTCAGGAGTGACAGCCTCAAAATTCTCTCCATCAGAATCACTTCCTCCATCTTCATCTCTTAGCATTGGAGGCATACAAAAACCAGGCAGCTGAAAACTTGAATTGCTATACAAAAAGATGAAACTCATTATTGATGGTCCAGATTAGCAATCTGTATTTATAAGTGGAAACGTGCTCCTTTAAATTTTAGGGACGTTTTCTATGTTTGAGAAGAAAGCATAAAAAATTACCTTCCATATTCATCAACTGGCATACCCTCCATTTGTCTAATAGGATCATCAAAAGCCCTTTCATTTCTTAAAGGTCGGCGTGAGGACGCCCCAGTAAGATATGAACTGCAAATGGCATCAAGCTCCTGAATATGGTGGCGGATTATGGGTTCTGGAAGAATTTTTCTCTCATGCCACACTCTCAGAACCTATTTAGCAAAAAACAGAAAGAAAGCAATGACATCAGTGTATCCATAAAACAGAATATTGCAAAAAGTCATTTGGCAATTTCCAAACATCATGTGCATACTCTCGAAATGAAATAAATACCCTCAGAATTTAAAATCATGCATTCATAATTGGTAATAAAAAATTCAAAATATAGTTTCACTTAATTTGAAGTCACAATAAAACATGTGGTCGAAAGTAAAAATATGCTTGCAATCTGAAAATCTCGTAACAAAATGTCAACTTCATGTACAAGTTACTTCAGTTTTGTGTTAATAGGTAATGTAATAAACAATTTAGAAAGAGAACATTAAATATACTCTAGTATTTTTAGTTTGAGAAAGCCAGTCATTTGTGATGGACTACACTGGTGATAATAGTAATCCTGCAATATGGATATGCAGCACTTGCACCCATGCATGACTAGTGAAGGTCAAATATTACATAAGAAATTGGACATCTTATTTCTTACTTTCAAACACTGCTTATGATTTTCATGAGAACTACCAGGAGGAGCAGCAGCCAACAATAAGCGTGGCAATAATGGTTGGATTGCTGAGGGATATATGCCACCATCACCTGAAAATTCAAATGCATTTTCAGCATAATGAATCCCACGTATAATATAATGTCAGAAATATTTCACAGCAGAGGTGTAATCCATCATAACAATCAGCGTAACTACCAGAATATTGTTATATATGTATTACCTTTCATGCCTCGAGAGCATTGCGTGATAGAATCAATGAGGAAAAACAAGTCCACTCTTCTGGACAAACTTGACTCATTTTCCAAATTTCGAGCCAGAAGTTCCATCACCTAAGAGAAGAGAGAGAGGTCAGTTTTGAGCAATAATATTAGCAAATACAACAAATGACACTCTTGATTGCAACTGGGAAGCAATTAATCCAAGAAAATTTACTTGACATAGTAAAATAAATTTGTGCAGCACTAAAAAAAAAAAAGAACAAAGAAAATCCATGCATGTAAATACTTACTAGTGCCGGAAAATTACCTAATCAGAAAGGGGCATTACTGCGGATGTTATACCATCTTGAGTCAGAGTTTGTTCATAGCAACAGCCTATGCCCATTTTTGAGTAGATAACAATGCAATCTAGAGTTCCAATTAGAGCTCGGAAATAAATCATAAAGAAATATGTGAATCTCTTATGTTGAACCTTTTTTATAGTTTTTCTGACAGATAAATTTAGCCCCCATTTGGTTCCCATTTTCACCCAAAAAAAATGCATTCTTTCTACCAACATGGGGTCCCACATGATGACATGTATTTTTGAATTGACTGGTACAATTTGTAACATTCCCGAAATACCCCCATTTGCCTTCAACAGCCCACCCTTTGACTTTTTAATTTTTGCTCACTGTATAGGGTAGTAAAGGGATTGGGGCATAAAAAGCTGTTTGTGTACAGTAACATATGTGCATTGTCAGTGGAGTGGACTGGTAACGGGTAAATTTTTTCTAAAATAAGAGTGCAAAATGGGCATCAAACAGGGGCTTAATTTGATACTCATGATCATTTTACAGTACAATATTTATCTAACAAATTGATGTAAATAAAAACATAAATGTTGATATATATTGTCTTTCCTTTTCTCCAAGAGAGCGAGCACAAAAATCCATTCTGTAGGATACAATGTCCTAGGGAAAACACAGGTAAAACAATGCCCAGTGTGCAGGATGAAGATAAGATAATGGATTGCACCTAAGAGGAACTATTTGTGAGATAGCTTTCTGGTTTTAATGGCCATCCAAACACCAGAATAGGAGGAGTTTTATATGTATGCATTGATTATCGCATATACAAAAGTCAAACCAAATCATACATGGGATACTTCAAGATTTAAAACCAGGAAGAATTCTACCTTAGTGGCAAAACCAAATTTAGCACAATCAATAGCTATGCGTGTTGCTCGACCTATGCTTTCTTTTGTCCTCGTCAGTGATCCAAGAATGGTTTCAAAGGACGACAAAGCATTATTAGCTCCTCCTTCGCTGCTTGACTTCCCAGCTAGTTTAGCTTTGTCAACAAGCAATAAAACATCAGGACTACGACTATTACTTTCAAGAAAAGTATTCTTTTCAAATGAAGACATGTTGCGTATGGACGAACTGGGTGGAGATGCCCGTCCAACTGAATCCAGCCCATCAGTTGGAGATGAAGATGTCTGAGTGAATGAGACAGTTTTGTTGTGCAGATGATCGTCGAAAGAAGAATTAGAATGAGATAATTGTTGATTACAACAATCAGTCATAACCTTCATAGGAGTAGCAGAGGGATCCTTTAATGCTGATTCTTTCTCAAACTCAGGCCTGCGGAAGTACAACACAGACAGTTAATAAGCAAGTTAAAGAATAAGAGACAAATGTGGAAGAAACACAGGCCACGTAAATAATATAGCTTACATTCTATTCTCTTGATTTGTTTCAGCTAATAAAAGGTTCTGCGTCTCAGATGTTTTATCACCTTTACTATACCCTTTGTCCGGATACACATCAGTCTCATTTTGTGGTGAACCTACAGCAATTTCTTCCACCAAGATAGTATCTGAACTCCTCCAGGCAATATCGGCACGAGATCCCTGAAAAGGTGTGGCCAATTCAGAACACTCAGTTTCACAATGATCAGTAGAACCAGTGCAGTCTAAATGAGCATGTTTTTCACCAGTATTAGGTGAAGCTGGTTTTAGATCTGGTTCCACAATATTGAACTTTACATTCTGGTCATATGAGGAATCTTTCAGATGTCTACCATCAGCACCTTCCGCAGTCCCTGCTATAGGTTGGATATATGCTCCGCTCACCATTGACAGCTCAGGGCATCCCCCAGGCGAATTACAACATCCATTAGTAGACATATTCACCATTGATAGACCACCCCCCAAAACCGTTAGACTATCTTCAGCTGCATTAGCTGACATGGCCTCCAAGGCACGGTGTAGGCGTTTAGATGGAGGTAAGGCAGCTTCACCATCGACAAAATTCTTTCTGGACTCCCAACTCTGAGGCTTACTTGAAAGACTTGAATCGAATACAGAGAGATTATCTGAATCTCCTTCAACATAAAAAGGCTTACTATTGGCAGAACCATCTTCCTTGGAATTCAAGGGTCCAGAGGACTGCACTCTGAGGCTTTTAGAAATATCCAACAATTTTTCCTCCATATATGCTAAAGAACCTAACTCCTCCCCAGAAGGTGATGGTCTGCCCATACGAATCCTGGCTCTTTTCACTAGTGGTAAGTGCTCGTCACCATCTTCCTTCGTACATTTTTCGGCAGATTTCCCATTATTACTAGGCAAAACATGTTCAATTTTCTGCATCTCAGCCTCAGAAATTGGTTTGTCTAATCTAGCTACTGTATCACTGCTGTGTCTTTTCCGATTTGGCTTCCGTTTCTTTTTAATGATGACAGTATTAGTTTGAAAGTCAAGCCTATCATTTAATTCAATTTCCCCTTCACAGTTTTCAACAACAGATTCAGGTTGCTTTGGTTTACAACCAGAATCTAAAGTGCTGCTGTCATCACAGCTAAGATTATCAGAGACCGTCACCGTATCAGAATCATTTTCATCATCACTGTCGTTTGATACAAAAGCAGATGAGTCCATTTCATGTCCATCAGTATCATCAGGCAACTTCATAATCCTTTTACTTCTTCTCAGAGATGTATCCCGCAATGCATTAGTAAAAACACGACGAGAGCTCCTAGTATTGTTGCTAGAAGGCAATGTCACGTCACCAATCCTTGATGAACCTCTAGACCTTCGTGCAGACGTCCTCCGCTCTGATACACCTTTTTCTGGTTGGCTAACTTCAGCTTTGTTTCTTGTAGAGTAAGTCATCAACAAAGGCTTATCTGTAGCCATACAATTAGTGCCGGAATCCTCTAGACGCATGTCCTCATCGTGCAGACCATCTTCTGCTGCAGCTGCTACAGCAGCTTCAGTTAAAAAGTTCAAATCATGTGTTGCTCCAGATGAAACTGGTGTCTTTAGATGTGACTCAAGTGTAACCGCAGCATCTTCTTCCTTTGACCCCAATTTGATCGCAGATTCTGCAGAATTATTTTCTTTCATCACCTTGATTTCATCAGTACAATAAGCACTGATATCTGGACTCGGTTTCTTCAGTTTATCAAAGCAATCAATGATCTCATTCAGTGCACGAACAAAATCAGCACCTTTACCATGACGTCTGACCAAAAGAGACTCTTTCTTTTCTTCTGTAAATTCTTCAACATCTACATGATTACAGAAGCCACTGTACAAAGGACCAATTTGTTAATGGAAAGAAAGAAAGAAAAATCTTGTAAACCAGGGTACTAAGTGCAATGACAGAGAATGCAATCTTCTGCACTGTTCAGTTAAGCAGTGAGTTATGTTGCAAATTATGATACATAAAAGTGGGAGCAGCAATAAATAGAGTTACAGTGCACAGTTTCTAAATAGAGGGTAATGAAGATCAAATCAACTGACTCCACATAGACAAGAATTTCGGTCTCTCTTTTGAAGTTTGAGTGTTGAAAAATTTTTGGGAATGTATGGTTGTACCTGAATGACAAAACATGGCATAAGAGCTCATACTCCTGCTGAATGATAAATATGGAAGAACACTCCGAAACGTAACTTATTGGCCAAACCAGAAAAGCTGAGAGATAAAGAATAAGAAATCCCATTCTTCACCCGTCAGAACATCCAGAAAGAAAAAACACAATGCTGCTATGACCATGTTCCAATCAGACTACTTAACATACGGACAGAGAGTTCTATTCAAATAGGAGTTCAGCTCAGGTTCAACAAATCCTGAGTTTGTAGAAAATGCAAAGTGAAGCATATAGAAGCAAATATATAGAAATTTATCGACGTCATTAAATTTTGGGGCATTGTTTCTCTATTGTCTTAAAATTTGAGAGAAAAAACATCATATGGGCAAAAAAGGATCTTGAACCAACATCTGTGCAATTCTTTAGACGAGCACATAAAGTAATGAGCATTTTATAAATCAGGTTTGAGATAAACTCTGAGATCCACCTATAAACCTTAAATTAACAACATAAATAATGAAACTCTTTTTATTTTTTATTTTTTTTAAATTTCCTGCAAAATTAATGAAGAATCAAGTTATAGCATGCTAACTATAGAGCTACCAAACTCATAAAACAAAGAATAAAAGCTGGCACTCACTGTCACCCACTTGTGTGTTGAACTCTTGAGATATTACAACTGGTTGTTATGGTAGATTCTAGAACACTTTTCCCAAACAGGCAACTAGAGTTATAATCAGCTGATTTAAAGGCTTCAACATACGGCAAACATATTTTATATAGAAAGAAAGAAGTACTTGGCTTTCTTTATTAAGTCTTATGCAATAAATAACTATGAAAAAGTGAATTGATAAATGAAGCTCACAGATATATGGATGATGACGTACCAGATTAGAATGTTAACTAGAGTATATGAGCAATAAAGAAATAAAGTAGAAGGCAGACAAAGGAAGGAATCAGTCAACAAATACGAACATAAGCACAATATGCACCAGGAGATTCAGGACCATAGCGATCATCATCATTTAGTCCTGAAAAGCAATTTTAATATAGTATCTTTCCAAAATAGTCAGTTTTAGTGCACAAGATAAAAAGTTAATTTGCCTACATGGCACACTGAAAATAATGCTAATTAGCCAAACGCCCATTACAAAGTGAAGTAGTCATTGGTTGAGATGACAAACAAAATTATTATGGTTTGAATTTAAACCAAATGCTCGTGAAAACGACAGATACATCCCTACCCAACAACTCCACAACACCAACGTAAATGATAAACAGAGGCCCCACAACACTTCTTCTTGTCACACCTTCTTCCCTAAAACTAAATATTTCTTGTTTGCATGAATGCAATATGAAATTGAAATCATCTATGGCTTATTAGCGTGTGATTACTGCCTCTTGGTGTGGCCTAGAAACTCCATTCTTCATATATGCATAAACAAGAGTATGATTTTTTTATTTTTGTAGCAATCATATTCATTCAGATTTATTAGATCAAAGACAACTGCACTAAACATACTCCAAAGAGTCAATAAAGTGGCAGGTGGACAATGGCTAAGGCCTCAAAGAGTTAGGCTAAGGTCTAGTCACAGCCAGGAATATTTATACAATATATTATATCTTTCTCCCACTTGAAGTGGTTTACTATTATTACTGTATAATTTGTTCTTCTATAAATTCTCTCTGCATTGTTGGACCCTTGATACTCCTACAGCTTCACCCACCCTTCCCTCCTTCCAAACAACCCCCACCCCCCAACCCCCAGAGAGAAAGAGACAGAGAAGTCGCTTTAAGCACGAACTCTAAAACATGAGACAACAACGACAAAAATACTAGCTCTTACTCTTCAACCCTTAAACAGAAATTGATGGATACATAGATGATAGTCCTGATCCGGTAAAATATAGTCAATAAAGATCCAAATGACAAAAGTATTCTATTTGAACTCGATGACCATCATTGTGAGTGTTCCTGAAACCAATTATGATACACTGAAGGGAAAACCAAGAAAACAAAGGGTGTGTATTTAATTTAAACTTTTTAAGTAGTTTAATATACCTTTTTTTAGTGACTAGCTTTCATGGAGTTCATAAACTGACTTTTATAGACTCTACGAACATATTAAAGACATCCGTGAAGTTTAGACTTCCGTGAACTTTTATCGACTTCAATGGGAAAAAATAACACGATACAGACTCTAAGTGAAATAATTGAAGTCGTAACAGAACAACTCCACACAAAAAGATAAAAAGTACAGGCATCGGTGCTCATCAGGGTAAAGAAAAAATAACTTCCCCACAATTAACCCACGCAGCCAGAAAGAAAAAAGAAGAGGAGAAAAAAAAAACTCCCAGGAAAAGATTTAAATAAATGTTACACAGTGATTAAACATTAATCTTTCTCATGACCTAAACCTATTGAAAGTTATTCACGTAACAACCAACCAATACATAAAACTTTTATTACAAATTAATTAACTTTTCAATAAAATCTTATAAGAATTTAATTTACAAATTGATTTTATGTTTCATAGAAAATAAGGGCAAAGATGGAAAAGAGGAAAAATGGAGAGGAGAATATATATATATATATATATATACATAGAGAGAGAGAGAGAGAGAGAGAGAGTAATAGATTGATGAGAGAAGAAATATTAATATTCCTTTTACAAAATAAAAAAATAAAAAGTTAGTGACTAGTCATGGCTCTGGGATTGGTAGAAGGAAAGACGAACAAAAAATATTGTAGAGGGAAAAAATCAAACCCCCTTTTTTGTGAAAGTCTTCCAAAAAGGTGAGATTTCGTATTTTTACTTTGTGCTTTGTGCTTAAAAGTTAGTACATAGAGAATTTTATATAATTCACTTAAAGTCAAATAACATTTTGAATACACCACAACTTTTATAAACTTCAAAAAAGTACAATTGAACATCGCATGACTTTGAAAATCTCCAAGTCTACATTGAATACCAGAAAATTTTTGGTATTTTAAATTCCATGCCGAATACACTCAAAACTTTTTAATTACATAAAATTCTTTAAAGTCTCCAATAAATACACCCATCTTAAGTCTGATCAAATAAGAGTCTGCTCATAACCATAACTATTTCACTGAACTATGCTCTCATGAGCCATTCTTGGGTGACAACCCCCTGGGGGGTATCCCCCCCCCCCCACCAAATGTCCTAGGGGAATAAGCCATGCTCTCATCACCAAAAAAAAGAGTAAAATCTAGTAAGGCTAGCTCACAATTTAAATGTGTTAAAAATGCCAAAAAAAAAAAAGGAAGAGAGAGAAAAGCTCTAAGAAATTTAATTTAAAATCACATAATAAATCTACTGTCATTTAGCCCCTATTTGGCCCCCATTAAAATTATAATTCATTTTTCTCTATCTTTTTATCAACCACACATTCTCTAGTAAAATAATATTACACATAAACTCAAAAAAAAAATTTTTTTTTTTTTAACCACACATTCTCCAAAAGAAAATACTATTCTAGAACATATTTTTCCCAAATTCTCATTATAATGGAGGCCAAACGAGGACTTAATGAAATTGCATAGTGCTCTATATGTTGAAGATGTTACCTAATTGACGTTTCCCTCATCCAAAATCACCATCCAGACACTAATGCAAAGAATTTATCCTTTTGAACTCAAGTTTCTTTACTAGAACCATGAAATTAAGCACTTTTCTAGTCAATAACAATGATGAGATGGCTAGTTTGCATAATTTCACTTATGGCCAGTCAGTAACTATCACAATCAGCTCTCTCAAAAAAATGTTCAATAAGGCATTGGATGCATAAAGCTTATGAAAGAAATTAATTACATAAACATATCTATTATATCATGATTTTTTTCACCAAAGCAATATAAGCCCACCCAAAACCATAGAAGTATTCCTAACAAAACCAAATTCAGGTGCAACATGTTAGTCCCTCCGTCCCAATTATATAGGCTTGTTCAGTTTTTGACACGGATTAAGAAATCATCTTTAATGTCATTGGAAAATTAATTTTTGCCAATATTTTTCCTAGTTTTCCCTTATTAAATTTTCCTTACATAGTAGTAAATTATTGTTGGAATTAGTAAAGAATTTGAATGATTTAATTTGAAGGAGAAGAAATGAGAGTTGTTCCATGTTTCCAAGTGAAAAATGTGTGTATTTAGATGATTTCAAGAAGTTAGCATATTAAATGAGGAAAATTGAATAAGGGTATATTAGTAAAAAAACAAAATAAAATATTATAAATTAAGAAACAGGCCTACATATTTGGAACAAGAGAAAAAGAAAACTTAGACTATATAATTGGGACGGAGGGAGTAACTAACAGTACTAGTTAACTTTCAAACTAGTTTTCACAAGCATGTTTATCTTGACTGAAACATTGACCTAAGATCGAAAATCAGGAGTTCGTTCTCATCTTTTTACAGATGTTTGTACAATTATTTATCACTTGATAATCACCAAAATTTTGAAAAAATAAAATAAAATCCTTGCACAAAAAATTTTACTGAGAGATTTAAAAGACAAACTAGACAATTCAATGGAACGAGGAACAAAAATTTCCACCAAAGTGATTGGGTTTATGACAGTGCCACAGGCTTTTCTACAGCAACAAAAGGATGTGAAAATAAGCAGATAGTTGATAGAAAAAACCGAAAAAGGAAACAGCCTTAAGGGCCTCTAGGTTATAACAACAGTTTCAATTAGAATAATCAATAGTCAAACATTGAAATAACTTTTTGAATTGATGACCATATAAGAAGTTGAGCAATATTAGCTAAAAAATTAAAGCTATTCAGAGAGCTAATTTCATCCGGCCAAGGGATATGTGAAATCAAAGTAATGGGGATTTAATTGGAGGCATGCCAAAACATCGAGCTAAAATCTGATTTAGAACTTCTTGACGTTTTTACCATTAGCAACTTTTCCCATTTTTGTTGGGAATTTCTAGTACAAAAAGACTAAGATTTCTGATAAATGTAGGATCATTTGTGTATTGAGTGTCAGTGATATTGAAAGTATCCTCCTTACAATTTCTCTTCCTAATTCTTAAGTCTTATTTTCCCTATCTCTTCTTCGTTATTACACTTCTATTCTCCCTTCTCTCTCCCCCTTTCCACGTTACACAAAATTCTACTCTACTACTACCAAAATGTAATCACGACCAACCAAATATCACTGTTTTCCCAACATTACCCCTCAGGTACTTGGGGAAAAAAATACTGGTTCGTTTTTGAACTGCACAAAAGTCAGACTAGGCTGAACCACTACTCGTTCGTCATCTCAAATAGGAACTATTAGCGTGTAGAGCCTCAAATAGTTTTAAGCATTCCCGAATTAGAATGACAGTTACCACATAGAAAATATGAAATACAAATCCAGTAAACAGAAAAGATTACTAACGTCGAAAAAGACGATGAAACCAATTGGAAACCTTGGTTCACAGATTACATTGTTTTGAACCTTATCCTATAGAGAATATGCTCAAGTAAATGCATCCTTGTGTTCCAATACATTAGCAGTCAAACCAAGATTTCTAGTTGATCGCATTGTCTACACACACACACACACACATATGCATGTATATATTCCCAAAAAATGCATCCTTAGGTTCCAATATTTTAGCAGTCAAACTGTTTTAAACCAATTCACATGAAACACAATCCCTACCAACATGGATATAGACAATGCCACCAACTAAAAATATTGGCTCTACATATTACATCATCGTGAACCTTATGTTACAGAGAATAAGTTCAACTAAATATATCCTTACATTCCAATACATTAGCTGTCAAACTGATTTATATCAATTCTTTGTCATTTTTACAAACATTTCACGAGGAATTAGAGCTAAAACCCGTCCATGGCTTATGTTAGTTATAAAAATATTTAGCTTCAAATGTTAAGCGATCAAACTTATGTTAGTTAAGGTACCAACTCTTAAACACCATTATATAAATAATGAGTTCACAAGGTCCAAAATCCAAAAATGTAATCTTTAGTGACCTGATAACCAATATCAACTAAAATAGGAATGAGTCAAGATGCCCACTAACAAAAAATTTTAAGTAACTATACAATACGTGTTTAAAAGCAAAGTGCTTCAGAGCATAGCTATAAAACCACAACCAGATTAGCTAATTAAGAAGAAGAATAAATAATGATATGTTGTCACAAATTCCAATTTTTCCGAAAGAGCTAATATATTACAAAATGGCTTTGTAAATTATCTTAGACCTATACTTGAGAACTATTCATCTAAGCTGAAGTAATTTGATAAATATTATTCGATAAAATGGGGCGGATGTAGGGCCATTGTGTAGATTATCACATTAGAACTGGTAGGAAATAGCATCGATGATAAAGGTTCATCAACTGCTCAACTATCAAAGGTGCAATTAGCTTACCGCATACTATAATCCCCTGCAATTAGAATGAAGAACAAAGCACCAAGTATTCAACAAACATATAATCCATGAGAAACTACGAGCACTCACATTTGTTCAGTTCCAAAGAAGTAGACAAAAACTTTTTTCCAATCAGCCGAGTAACCCCACTTATCTGGTTCACTCACCTGCAATTACAAAAAAGAGAAACAAAGGTGTCAACAACTGGACCAGGACAGCATCAGGATAAATATTCTCAACAAGTTGTAATAGCTAAATTAGGTGTTGCTTACAGACCCTAGGTCAGTCATCACATACAGGATCGCCACAACCATGTAACATAAACATTGTTAGTCTATACCTAGCTCATGACATTCATGAGCCTTTCAGGTTTGCGTATTGTAGTAATTTATCATCATATAGACTAAAGAAAAATATTTCCAACAAATTCCTAGCAATAAATTTACATGTCACCTCTTTGCCATTTTTCATAATTAAACTACATTTTTTAAAAAAAAAAAAGAATATCCAATATATATAATCTATGATGCACCAACTCATGTTGAACACAATACAATTTTCAAAAAGTACTAACGCAACAAGTTACCGTTACGTTGATTAAATTCTTTAAAGTTCTTCATTTATATTGAGTAAATTTAATTTTATACTTGTTATTAATTTTTTCTATAAATCTTTTAAATACAAGTACCTATTTGTTTTTTGATAAGAAGTACCTATTTAATAATAACTTTGAGTTAAAAATATATAACCCCTAATTAGGCTCAATTTTATCCAAAAATGCATTTTTCTCTCTCCTCTTTTTAACGGCGCATTCTCCAATAAAATAATATTACACATAAACCCAAAATTTGTCCCTTTTTAACCAAACATTCTTCCCCAAAAAAATCACTATTCCAAAATACAATTTTCCCAAAAACTCATTTTAATGAAGCCTAAACAGGGGCTTCATATTTCAGATAAAAAGGAAAGATGACCATAGTAGTGTGTTTGATGAGTGTTGGTATCCGACACATGTCTGACATGGACACACCAACCTAGTTCAAGAGTTTGTGCAACAGTATAAAATTTAACTACGAGCAGAACTGATGTTTATGCGGAAGCCTTACAGAAGTATGGACGTAACAGATGTGACCTCTTTTAATTGAATGACAAACCTAACGAATCTCAGCTAAATTCGAAGGAAATTATGTGGAAGCTTTGCTGAATTATTATGAAGCTATGCAAGTAGAAATTGATCCTATGTTCAAAGTTATATACTCAATAATATAGGTTTTATCCATAGTAATACAGAACATACGAAAGTTTTGGAATATTATTTTCCAACTCTAGAACGAAATCCATCTGTCAGTGCCATTTGTTAGCCTCAAGGCAACCAAGGTGTTTGCTTGTTTGTCTTGCCCTTTATAGGCATTTTATTGCTAGCTATTGCCTTTTGAACTATTTTTTTACAACCTAGATAGATAATGTGAGGAAAGTGATAGAGAAATCAAATATATCAAGATTCTCTTAAAGATCTTGCTAGTAGTGATGTTATGGGAACATTTTGGATTGTCTATACTTCTAGAAGATTACAATTTTGTTATGTTATTACCTTTTACAAATTTGTTATTTGTTGTTTTATTACATCATCACTATCAGAATCAAACTGATAAACCAACAGCATTTTTCCGTTTTAATGACAAACTTACAGAGCAGTACTATATTTTTATAATCTTTAGTATCCTCAAAGTTATGATATATAGCATTATAGTTCAAAAAATATGCATACAAAAATTACAGAGATGTGAAAATACACAGACTAAATACGACACCCAAATATCAGTTTGTCAATTATTTTAATGTAAACATGTTATTTCTTACATTTTCAACTCTAAACAACATGCTCGTACCCTTTAGTGCTGTGAAAGAGTCAAATATACAGTTTCAAAGACAGATCCACAGATAAGAAAAAGTTACGAAGAAACCTTATAATTGATTTCAACACCCAAGAACTGTAAAATCTACGAAAATTGGCATGCATAACGAAATTCTAATCCAGATAAAGCAGATGTAAAAAAACCAAAAAAAAAAAAATAATAATAATAATAATAAAAATAAAAAAATAATACTTGGCATAATAAATTATGGGAATACCATAGCAGGCCATGCTGGAAATCCTTTCACCTTCGCAAGCACAAGATCACCGATCTTCCACTGTCGGCGATCAGCAGCAGCAGCCGCCGCCTTGCTGGAGCCTTTCCTTCGGCTGGGCGCCATAAAATTCCACCAGGACTCACCACTGTCCGTCAAATTACCGTCATGTACTCCACAGAAACAACACTTTCACGGTACAATTTCGAGGGTATTGCGGCATCGAAATTGACCACTTCTTCAGAGAAAGCACGGCCAAACTTTCTACGTTTCCAACAAACAATTACGCATAAAGCACCCAGGCACCGAAAGAACAAATCAAGAACCGAAAACCCTAATTTCCCACAAGCAGTATGTCCTACACCTCCGTAAATTTAATTCATATAGTTCTGTATCCGTATGTAGAACAACAGAGAGTGCGCATAAAACCCAAACCCTAATTGAGCGGAAGGGGGAAGGTCCTGTGGAGTAAAGCTGTGCAGAAATGCCAAAAATCACAAATACGAAGTGAAATTGATTTTTGAAGAGGAGAGCGGTCTACCTTGCGCCGGGTTTGTGTAGGTTAAAGTGCGATGTGAACAACCAACCCCGCTCCTGTTTATCCAGACACGCGTTTATCGATACATCCAAAGCATGTGAACAACCAACCCCACTCCTGTTTATGGGCCTTGAGGGCTAATGGCCCAGTTCTATATGCGGAATGGTTCGGCCCATTTTTATTTGAACAGCCAGTTTGACGAAAATAACACTGAAATTATATTTTTATTACTTTGTTTTCTATATGTTCTTGTCCAATTTTATGTTAAGTAACTCATTGATTGTACATTTCCCACCAGATGACCGTAAAAACTTCTTATGAAAAAGAGTTGCATTAATTATTATGTTTGGCTAAGCTTCAAAAAAAGTAAAAGTTACTTGAAATAACGTTTTAGTTCCAAACATATTTGAGTGGCTTATTTTTTGATTACTTTTAAGATAAAAAGTTGAATATTTATAAGTAAAATCTTAATTTACTGTTTGAAATAACATTTTAGTTCCAAACATATTTAAGTGGCTTAAGGGTTGTTCTCTTCGTGTTTCAGTTTTACAATTTTGAGTTTTGAATTCATAAGTTTTGTGTTTTAAGTGTCTGTTTTAAAATTGTTGAAAATACTTTCTTTTTGTCGTTCTGCATAATAGTTTTTGAAAACATAAAAATGAAAAACGCATTTACTTTGAAAATTTGATAATGTTTTTTATGTTATTTTATTCAAGAAACCACCACAAAGCCGTCACCACCACCTCCAATCCACTACCAACCAAAAACAACACAACCAATGTCACCGCACCAGTCACCATTGCCACTGTCGAAAATCATCATCGTCGACTGCTGCCACGACCGTCAACCACTGCCAAAATCAACACCACCACCATCACCATGAACCATCAACCACTGTCGCTGCCAAAATCAACTCCACCACCATCATGAAACATCAACCACTGCCACTATCGACACAGAAAACAAAGAAGAACCACAAATGAAGGGTGAAGAGGAAGGAAGGAGACTGGCAGCAGTCGTAAATCAATTCACCAAAATGAACCACTACCAAAATCAACACCATCCACCGCACCACATCACCATTATCGACCTCCATCTCCACAAACAGACCACTATCGCTTGCCCCGCCACCATCACAATCAATACCCATTGCCGCCAGATCAAAAAAACCAAAAGAAACCACAAAAAGCTAGCGATCTAAAAGAGGGTAAATTGCAGCTTCGCGATGCTACGAACTTCACCTCCCCAAACCATAGCTGGTGTCGAAGAGAGAGGAGATGGAGTCAGCCCAAACCACAGCAGTGTCGCGACGAATGGATCGTGACGAACGCAGAATCGCCTCCCAAACCACAGCCAACACCGGTGTGACTCCTTTGTCGCCATTTACAGTGTTAGAGTGGGTCACCGGCATCGAGAAGAGAGAAGGAAGAGACGGCAGGAACAGAGACGAAAGAAGGTAGAGAGACAGCCTAGATGAATGCTTTTTTGGCTTTTGCCGTTTTCCGCATTTTGAAGGATTTTGGCATTTTGGGAAGAAAACGTTCAAAATGACGATTTTGCTGTTTTGCATTTTCTATACAATTTTTTTTTTCTTGTTTTAGGAAATTCGTTTTCGAAAACGGGAAAGAGAACGCGTTTTCGCCATTTTCGAAAATCGAAAACAAAAAACAGGTTCAAAACAAGAAAGAGAACAGGGCCTTATTTTTCAATTACTTTTAAGATAAAAAGTTGAATATTTATAAGTAAAATCTTAATTTACTCTTAAAATAAGTAACATTCCAACTTTGATCAATAAAAAAGTAGCCTCTCCAAATCTTTTACCCTTAATAAACATTCATTTCACATAACTTGATTATGACCCCCAAATAAAAACACACACAAACTGTAATTTTCAAATATTCCAAGTAAGGACTTGTTTATTAGTAATTTTGAGAATTGATTTTTTGACCGTTGAAGATAAAAGTGAGTCTTACCTATAAGAGAAGAAATAAAAAATGACGACTTAAATAATGAAATAACGATAAAAAAAAATTAATTTTTTGGGGTGAAAAATCAATATCAAACATTCACTAATTGCGAAAGTGTGTAAATGTGTGCTTTCAGCTCAAAAACCAGAATGAAGGCAAAATTCACCCCTACGATTTTCAGTGAAAGCAACAAATTTTAGACACAGATTTCAACTGGAAATAAAGGTGCAGTTCTGCCAGAGCTAGTGTTGTTGAAACAGTGTTATTTATAGCAACATTCTCACTAAGAATTTTCTTCAAAGAGCCTATCTAAACCATATCAGAGAATTATAAGTTGCGTTTGGTGCACAGTATAAATTAAAAGACAAAATTATGAGGGACGAAATTAAGGTGTTTGCTAATCAAGTCGGCCCTCGTGATCAAGCTAAAATTAAGTGACATGTTATGTATGGAGATGAACACACAGTATCCTCAGGAATTGAAAAAATGCTTTTCTTTTAGCAGCAAAAATAAGAAGCAAATGCAAAATGACTTTAGAGATACTAAGGGGATTCCTCTAGAAACACAAATAATCAATTGTGCCTGCTAGTCCTAACTATTTTACAGTCAGTAATATTCTCTTGAAAATGTTCAAAATTCTACGAAACAATAATTAGGTGTGAGTGAAATAGAGATTCAATGTTCAGCGTGGAGTTCAATGAGAAACTTTATTAAGATCATTGACTGCAAAAAAGGGAACTTTATCGGAACTTCGGAATGAAACTTTTCTGATCTCACTAAACAAAATGTCCTCCATATATAAAGTAAATGGATTTAGAAACAAAACTCTAAGCAGGTGTATAATGCAAAAGATAACTAGGTCAGTAGTACTATAAATACGTCCAAAAAGACTGGATGATACAATAACAGCCTCACTTATTTCAGCACTTGTATACCACAATTCCTCAATGCCAAGCTTCCCTTGGTAGAAATCATACAGTTTAGGTACTTGCTTCTCATATTTGGTCACAAACTTTTCCAAGAAACAATTCTCTATAGGAAACAACATGGTACTCAATTTCACACCTTTCTTATGTAGGGAATCTACTTATATATGCACAACGAAAAATTAAAATTATTTTGATTCCCACCAATAATCCATTTATATTTAGATAGAAATCGTGATAAAGATTGTACTTTTGAAGAATTCTGCAAACCTTTTGCTCTTCTTTTTTCATTCCAGCAATCTTGATTTGCCATCCACAGTTGTCCAATTATCCAGCCTCCAACGGTGATCCACACAGAAGATAAGATTGCAGCTACCAGTGTTTTCTCTTCTTGTGCTAACAAGAATGATTATGAGAAAAATCATGTGGATTGAAAACCCTAGCTATGTTATTTTTATAAGCCCAAACGGGCCTGGTCAGGTCCGGTCCATATTTAATTAATTCATTTAATTAAATTCAGTCCGTGAATTAATTAATCCAATTAATTAATTCAAGCCTATAAATAACAAACCCAATTAACTAATTTACCCAACGATTGTTAAATTAATTAATTGACAAATTGCAATCTTTCAATTCTCTTTTGTGTGTGACCCATCAAGTTCCCGATCACGATGCCTAACGATGTGAAATATTTTTTTGATATAAACAAAATTGATAAATTAAAACACTCTTTTAATTTATCGTCAATTCACACTCGCCGTCCCAAATTGACATCTAGCAATGTGTCAGAGCAATACATGTGACGGGAAATGTCATGTGGTATGACAAAACGAAACTCGTTCGTTTACCGTGAAACTATAATCCCTTCGTCAATATGATCCGATAAATTACGAGATATGGAAGCGTGTCAATCTTAATTATCGATCATATCTTTCACTTCACTATTAAGTCAATATAAGTCGAAAACTCCTTTTCGACTTATGGGTACACATTGGCTAAGAATTTCATCATCGACTTAATTGAATGAAATGCAGATCATAATCTCCTACTATCTAAGAGTGACGAATTCTTTATTGATCAATCACAACGTTCATACGATTCTTGATGTACCCGAACGATGTCGTATTAGCGTCCTTTTGCAGAGCAACATCCAACACCGCCAAAGTATGACTGTCCTCATATAAGGTATCATGACGACCTCAAGTCAAAGGACCAATTCAACTACCGACCGTTAGAGATTAACCACTGACACTTAGATAGTTATCCTTGTGGAATCTCTCGACGGGTCTCCAATGTTTTGTTCTATAACAAAACATCCACGTGTTTATTTAAGTGTCACCATATTTTAGCTTGTGAGATCAACTACTCACTTCACAAGTAAGAAATGTCACATGTGATGGTCTATTCATAATAACGATATCCGTATCTCGTTATTACTTACGACCACGAACGATTTAAGATTCAATCAGATGTAATTTGTATCTCACAATCACAACTCCTTGTGATTAACAAATTACGAAGATTTGAATCGACGGACTCTATTATTTATTTAATAGATAATTAATTAAATAATAGATCTGTCATTAAATTGCATTAATTATATATCAAAGGTATTTATGTCCAAAGTTGATTGGACATAGGGCATAATACTTACAAACTCCCACTTGCACTAGATCCAATCATTTATATATCAAATATCATAAGTTTACATGACTATCATGTTTATGCTACGACAACTATTTGTCAGTGGATCTGCAATATTGTTAAATGTGGAAATTTGTTCTTCTCTTTACGTCATTTCTATGTATTATCTCTCTGATGAGATTATACCGCCTTAATACATGTTTGGATCATTGATGATACCTTAGTTCCTTCGCTTTCGCAATGACTCTATTATTATCACAATACAATGGCATGTGATCAACAATATAAGGAACTACTCCAAGTTCATTTATGAACATCATGATCCAGATTGCAACTCTTTGCTATTTTTGAAGTAATCATGTATTATGTTTCTACTATTGAATCAACGGTTGCTTCACATTTAGAACCTCTCCAAGATACCGCTTAAGAGTAAACCAGTTTCTCCATAGGAAATCTTCTCAAGATTTCATCTATGTAAATTGGGATGAGTTGAGCAATCTTCT